GCAGTGGTGTGATCTCGGCTCACTGCAACCTCTGCCTCCTGGGTTCAAGTGATTCTCCTGCCTCAGCCTCCCAAGTAGCTGGGACTACAGGTGTGCACCACCACACCCAGGAGTTCAAGGCTTCAGTGAGCCATGATCGTACCACTGCACTCCAGCCTGGGCAACAGTGCAAGATCCTGACTCCACAAATAAATAAATAAACATCATATGATATGTACCAGGTTACAGGCAGGTGTTATTATCCCCACTTTTCATCCTCAACTCTGAGTTGAGTTATACATCAACCTCTAGTAAAAGGTGGCATGCTCTCAGTTAAAGGGGCAAGCCCAAACCACATGGAAAGGATCTTATCTCTTTTGAGAGCTAATATAAAAAGAATTCCTCCTAGACATAAAAGTATTGTGACATCAGTTACTTAGGCTAAACATGCCTATTATGGTAAGTGAATTATTATTAACAATAAAGAGTTTAACTCTGTGCCATGTTAATTATCATAATATGATTTATAATTGGTTCTAAACTTAGGTTATATATACCTTGAAGCCATTTATGTTTTGGTATACTTATAGTAGTTACTATACACTAGACTGTGTGTATTGGACTAGACATGGAGGGTCAAAAAAGAGTATGTGATTGGAGTAGGAATCATGCCCTAGCTTCCTTTGTGTCTACCTCCTACCTCAAGTAGAAGCAGTAGAATAAGTAGTTACCTAAGATTTTTTGGATTCTGTTTTGTGGAGAAACACCCTTATATTTAGGCCGATGGGTGGCTAAATTACAAAGTATTTTTTGTGATTTAGAATTTTATATGGAGATGTTCATTGTGATTAATTATTCTTTGTATTAGCAGATTTTTGCTTTTTATAGCTGCATGATTTCTTGTTTATTGTTCATTCATTATTGTCTGTTAATAAAGAAAAACTTTAGTCACTGAAGCAGTGAAAACCAACTTGGGTTTTTTAATAATGACTGACTTTTTTCTTTGGGAATACATTACTGGAAAAATGTAGATTATTAGATACATTACTTTTAATGAATATAAGTGGTATAATTAAAAGGCTGAAAAGAATCCTTGGAAACATGAGTTTAATTTGATAGCTAAGAAACTGAGGACAAGACACTTATTCTTTGTAGCATATTTTCTAATGTCATTTCATTGTCTCACCAAGAAGTACTTGCATAAAGCCAGTTCGATTCTAGCATCTGTTGTATATTTAAGGTTGGGTAAATTGGGTGAGTTTAACAGATATTTTTCCTTACTTCTTTTAGGCAAATCTGGATTGGGAAAGTTGACATTAATCAACTCATTATTCCTCACAGATTTGTATTCTCCAGAGTATCCAGGTCCTTCTCATAGAATTAGAAAGACTGTACAGGTATGGATATTAGTATTGTTAATTGATGATAAGCTGGAATAATATTAATACACACAAAGCACACGTTGTAACTTTTATTATGCTTTCTTAGAGGTAAGATGCAAACTTGCCCTTAGCCAGTGTAAGATAGTAGATATGACTTCATAAAATTAAAATAAACAAGGAGAAGTACAGTTAATCAGAAGAATTATCTTGACTAGAACTTTCCAAATTTGTCCTAAGGCTTCTAGAGATGACACTGTAACATAGTAACCAATTCCCCTGGAGCTGTGCTATCTAGTATGATAGTCATTTGCCACATGTATAAATCAATTAAAATTAATTAAAGTAAAAATGCAATCCCTCATTTTCTCCAGATACATTTCAAGTGCTCAACAGCCACATGTGGCAAGTGGCCGCCATTTTTGCAGCACATATATGAAGATTTTCATCATTGCAGAAAATTGCATTGGACAATGTAGAAAAAACACGATTCATAGAAAAGCTATTGTTATTTAAATAGAGTGTTCTATATTAGTCAGTGGGATAATACCATATCGTAGTTGAATGGCAATAGCAATTCTGTAAGACTTCCAAGGTGTATGTGATCTAATTTACTGCTTCTCAGTCTTTGCTATGCATTCCAATCCTGGGTATCCTGTTAAATGTAGTTCTAGTAGGTCTGAGATGGGCTGTATTTCTACATTTCTAACAAGATCCCAGGTGATACTGATGCTGCTGGATAGTAGATCACACTGTATAGAGCATGGGGCTAGACTCTAGATATGCACTTTTCATTAAATGGTGCAGCAGCCTGTAGCCACTTCTCATCTTAGCAAAGGTCATCAAACTTCAAGTAACATGACTTGGGTTTGTATAAGAACTTTGCAACTTTATCAAGTTGTTTAACTTCTTTGAACCCATTTGCTTTTCTATAAAATGGAGTTAATACCTATCATAAAATTGTTTTTAAGACATACTCTAAAATAATGTAGCTAGATAGAATTCTCATTGTAAGAAATTTAAAACTGTTTGCTCTAGTTTTATCCATTTGTATAAATTCTATCTCAATCCTAATTTAAACCTGATATTTAGACCTTCAGTTTTTCTATAAGTCCTAAGTGAAGAAAACAACTATGAAATGTTAGTCTGAAGTAATTATCTTAGTATTTTATAAATAATACTTTCGTTTTTGTTTGAATTCACATTGTTTTTGAGGTATTTTTCTGTCAACTCTTAAAACTCCTAAGTTCATCATGAAGTTTTTATATTATTTAAAGTAATCTCTCATTTGAAATTTGAAACTGAATATAATTGTTTTCCTATTATGAAGTGTTACCAATATATTCATTAAAAGTAATGTATCTAATAATCTACATTTTCCAGTAATATATTCCCAAAGAAAAAGTCAGTCATTATTAAAAAACCCAAGTTGGTTTTCACTGCTTCAGTGAAATAAAGTTACCAATACACTTATTAGTGCAAATAATATGCTAATTATTTAGCTGTGTTTCGATAATAAATAGTTTATTTTCTTTCATTTGGAAGGTTTTGAAATAATGAATAAAGATTTATTCAACATAATTTATATTTTTGAATCTTTATATAGAATAACTTGACATATCTTCCACTGGTAAATTCATTTTGCCTGTTTGAAAATATTGATTATTGTCCTTTAACAGTCATCAGTTAATTCATATATAGAATTGCAACTTGTTTTGTTTGTTTGCATTCTTTAGCTGGAAGCCTGTTATCGATTACATTGCTAGTAAATCTGAGGACTACCTAAATGCAGGATCACGAGTGGACAGACGTTAGATGCCTGATAACGGTGCAGTGTTGTTTATACTTCATTGCTCCTTCAGAACATGGGTCAGTACCTTGACACTTCTGATTCCTTTTGTTGTTGCTGTTGCTTACTGTTACCTTTATGTGCATATTTTAGTAATCTTTAAGTTTGTGACATATATATGACTATACCCATTATAAAGTACCAAATTTCATATAGAAATGTCTTAGTTGAAAAGCCTTTTTAAGTCCTGTATAAGCTAACAGTGATTTTACTCCTTAGTTCTTCATTCATAAGGATTTTCCCTGCTTCACGGAAATAAACAGTGTTGCCACCATGGTTTGAGGTCTCAATGTGGCAAATTTAGCTTTCATGTTGACCACCCTGCTACTAATTGAACTACCAAATAAAGAGAAGCAGCCATCCCAGTTAGACATATTCAAAATAAACTCAAAGATGCTATTTATTATAAGTCTCGTAAGAGATGATTATCAAAAGCACTTGCATGCCAATGTTTTCTTGTGCCATTTCTTTCTACAATAATCTATTTGGCTTCTGTTTCACCGTAGCTGTCATAGACATGTCATTTAGGTATCATATTATCAGTACTAACCTTTTGTTTATTAGAACATAAGACCTAAATATCTAGACATTAATCTGATCTGGTTGTTCTGTTTGTTATAGTTAGCCCGTACTCTCTTTTTTTGTTGTTTGTACTTCCCCTTTCATTTTGAGTACATATATGTGTCATTGACAAATGCAGATTTTTCCAATTATTCTTCCTCAGTCTTTTCCTTTGGGTAAGTAACTCAGCATATATAATTCAGCCACCTGATAATTGTAACTCCACCATCTCCCCCCCAAAAGAATTGTAGCAGCATCAGGCTGAATAGCATTAAGTTATCTAACACTCACAGTACAGTAGTGAAAACCAATTCCTTCAAGTATACCTTTCTCTTCTATTTTTGGCTTCTTGCTCTCTCTCTTTTTTTTTTTTAATAGATGAGTCAATGCCCATTATTACTTTAGATGGATAAGGGAGCCTTAATTATATACTTATATTTTTGCACTGTTGGATTGGAGTGGGTTAAAAATGTTTCTTCTTTTATGTCTAATACTCTTATTTTTTTTGCTGTGCCCTAGACCACTGCATAACTGAAGACTCCCACCTTCAGTCAGGATTGGGTAGTACGTGTTTGTAACTACTTGGTGTTGCCTTTTGTTGAGGTAATTTCAGTTATTATTATTATACTTTAAGTTCTAGGGTACATGTTCACAATGTGCAGGTTTGTTACATATATATACATATGCCATGTTGGTTTGCTGCATACATTAACTCATCATTTACATTAGGTATTTCTCCTAATTCTATCCCTCGCCCATCCTGTCGCCCCATGACAGGCCTCAATATGTGATATTCCCAGCCCTGTGTCCAATTGTTCTCATTGTTCAGTTCCTACCTGTGAGTGAGAACGTGCAGTGTTTGGTTTTCTGTCCTTGCAATAGTTTGCTCAGAATGATGGTTTCCAACTTCATCCATGTCCTTACAAAGGACATGAACTCATACTTTTTTATGGCTGCATAGTATTCCATGGTGTATATGTGCCACATTTTCTTAACCCAGTCTATCATTTTATGGTGTTCTCAATTTACATATTTAAATCACTAAACTGACTCTTTGACTTAAAAGGCTCAAAAAAAGTGATCTCAAAAATACCACACACTGTATAACTTTTCATGAGTATTTGTGTAGCTTCTTGAATTTATGTTTTTAAATCTTTCTTGTTTACCTTGTCAGGGTCTTTTCCTGAAAGCCAGCTGAGTGAAATCTTAACCTGCAGTTAAGTCAATACAATTTGTCAGCTTATAACCAATATTATTATTTTAGATCTTCTGGACTCTCTCCAAGTTTAGTAATTCTCATGAAATCACATTCCTCCCATCCCCTTGGGGAAAATTTTATTTCTTAAAATTGCATGGGAAATGAAAGCTTTTCTAAAATAAAAAAAAATTTATATTCAGATGATATATAGTGGCTTTGTGCCATTTCTTATTTGTCACAAGGGGTAAGATGTTTAAAATTGCTATATCTTATACATAAAAATGTACCTTTCAATAATTTCTCAGTTTAACTATTTTTAGAAATGGAGCAAAGTTTTGCCCATTTGTACATGACACTGTGGATTAAGTGAAAAAAATATGAGGCCGGAGACAGTGGCTCACACCTGTAATACCAGCACTTTGTGGGAGGCTGAGGTGGGTGTATCACCTGGGGTCGAGAGTTCAAGACCAGCCTGACCAACATGGAGAAACTCCTTCTCTACTAAAAATACAAAATTAGCCGGCCGTGGTGGTACATACGTGTAATCCCAGCTACTAGGGAGGCTGAGTCGGGATAATCGCTTGAACCCGGGAGGTGGAGGTTGCGGTGAGCTGAGATTTCACCAGTGCTCCAGCCTGGGCAACAAAAGCAAAACTCTGTCTCAAGGAAAAAAAAAAAAGAATATGACACAGAATTTTATGTACAGCGTTCCAGATACCCTCCTCACTACAGACTGAAATTCTATGCAGTCTAATAAATGAATGAGAACCTTTCCATCTTGTCTGGGTAGTCCCTAGCTTCCCTTTTTAGAGGGATTTGGTTTTAGAGTAATTATAAATTGGTCCAACAGTGTACTTTCAGTGCCTCCTACCTCCCTCTACCAAGTATGAACTGCA